TTTATCTGTTTACTACAGTGTGTTGAATTCATGTTAATGTGTATTTAAAGATATTTTAATTAATGGAAAAAATTGCAGGGGAATATAAAAAAAAAAAAAAGTCTAATTAACCAAAACTTTAGCGACCCCCATGCAGTACATCTGTGGACCCCCTAGGGGTCGTGAACCCCCTGTTGAAGACCTCCGATCTAGAGCATAAAGCTTGAAGGTAGAGCCACGCTGTTGCTCCATTCAGGATCTTTTTTCCTCCTTTTTCCTGTCTGACTATTCTGATTCTCTGCGAGGTGAGTCATCTGATGTTCTGGTTGTGTTTTGTACAGGCTGAGTTAGGGATAATCAACACTCAGTGTTAGGAAAAAAAATTTGTGTTTAGGCTTTAGTGGCGCAAGTCTGACTGCAGTGCCAAACCTAATGCACATCTGTCTTCATGTCCTCTGTCTCTCTCCTTCGAACCCAGAGTGCCGTTGACCTGGAAGACCCATATTAGCTGCGCCGGAAGCTTCCCTGTCTCCTTCCGGTGATCCGAGCATCCACCAGGAGGAGGGTGGTCTCTCCATTGCGCCGTGTCTCTCTCCACTAAAAGAGGACATGCAGTGTGTGCTGGAATGCGTGAGTGTGTATGTGTTGGTCGTGCATTTGTGTGTGTGTGTGTTTTTGCAGGGGCGGGACAAAGACTACACCTGAACACATGCATAACTGCTTGAACCCCCCCTACCCCCACCCCCATCCCACCCCAGGAGGAGAAGCTGAATCACTCTACAAAGAAAAAAAAAAAAAAAAATTGTATAGATTTTAAGAACTGAGGCGTTTTGACGGTTGAAACGGATTTTTACCGTTGGAAATCTTTTTGTTTTCTTGAATGTTGGACACCAGACTTCACAATGATATGAGGACCTATTGTGCGCATGATGTCTGTGAGCGGGTGTTTGACGGAGAGAGGGTGTGTATGTGAGAGCGTTTAACTGAGGGCCAAGAGGACACGCGTGGTAGATAAAGACTTTTTATGTAATTCTTCATGTTTCTTTGTGCTCTTAACACCTTTGCTTCTTCCCCTCGATTAAAAAACATCACACTCTCTCTCTCTCTCTCTCTCTCTCTCTTACACACACCACCCCTCACCTCCACCTGTGCAAATATAAATGACGTGCCACAACTGCAGGGCACTGCATGAGGACTTGGGTTCTAAATGTACAGCTATGTGTTTTTTTTGTTTTTTTTTTCTAATCATCCTCAGAGGACAGCCATTGGTCGAGGCTGACTGAACCCAGAAGCTCTCTGGACTCTGATGGGCCGCGTGAGAAATGATTTGGATTTTATTTTTGTTGATCGATTTCGGACGAAACGACGTTAATCATGATGGAGGTATGGGAGGTTGATGAAAAGCCAGATTGTTAGTCGGACCCAAGGCTTCAGGAGGAGAAAAAAGGGTGGATGTTGTAACACTGGTTGGACTTCCTCGACATCGTCTGAGGCGCAGCAAATACTCCTGACGGAGGAAAACAGATTTCTTTTCTTTTTTTTTTTTTTTAAATGTTGCCCACGAGGTTTCTAGTTGCTCGCTGTGTAGAGTGAGTGAACTTCCAATTTTAACCCTGTCCCTGGTTCTCAGACTGCATTGGTAATGTTTGTATTGCTGTTGTTTGATTGCACTCACATTTGATTACAGAAAAGCGTCTATATATGAAATAAAATACCTACCAAGGATGCAGCAGTTGTTGTGTAT